CGGATTTTTCCTGGACGAGTTTAACCAACAAGATTCCAAAGAAAACGGGAGCAAACTCCCCAACTTCGTTCTTTTAGGAAACTAAAACAAGAGTTTTCACTTTGTCATGAGGCGAACATAATTTATTAAAGCGACCTGTTTTTTGTAAGGTTCTCGAGAAGCAAAACACAAGAGACATTGTTCATGCCTTTGTGGAATTGTGGAGTGTCTATGGTAGAATTAATTAGTGTGTTTATATAATTTAAGCGGGAATGTTTTCCCTAAAGGAATGTGTTCCTTTTGAGAAGAGATTTATACGTTATACGATGCTAAGGTGCAGGGATATGAGGCCAAGGAGCTGGGATATGAGGCCAAGGAGCTGGGATATGAGGCCAAGGTGCTGGGATATGAGGCCAAGGAGCTGGGATATCAGGCCAAGGAGCTGGGATATGAGGCCAAGGTGCTGGGATATGAGGACAAGGCGCTGGGATATGAGGCCAAGGAGCTGGGATATGAGGCCAAGGAGCTGGGATATGAGGCCAAGGAGCTGGGATATGAGGCCAAGGAGCTGGGATATGAGGCCAAGGTGATGGGATATGAGGCCAAGGTGCTTGGATACGACCTACCTTACCTTGAGGTTACCTTGAGGTGCTTCCGGGGCTTAGTGTCCCCGCGGCCCGGTCGTCGACCAGGCCGCCTGTTTGCTGGACTGATCAACCAGGCTGTTAGACGCGGCTACTCGCAGCCTGACGTATGAGTCACAGCCTGGTTGATCAGGTATCCTTTCGAGGTGCTTATCCAGTTCTCTCTTGAACACTGTGAGGGGTCGGCCAGTTATGCCCCTTATGTGTAGTGGAAGCGTGTTGAACAGTCTCGGGCCTCTGATGTTGATAGTTCTCTCTTGAACACTGTGAGGGGTCGGCCAGTTATGCCCCTTATGTGTAGCGGAGGCGTGTTGAACAGTCTCGGGCCTCTGATGTTGATAGAGTTCTCTCTCAGAGTACCTGTTGCACCTCTGCTTTTCAACGGGGGTATTCTGTACATCCTGCCATGTCTTCTGGTCTCATGTGATGTTATTTCTGTGTGCAGGTTGGGACCAGCCCCTCAATTATTTTCCACGTGTAAATTATTATGTATCTCTCCCGCCTGCGCTCAAGGGAGTACAGATTTAGGCTCTTTAGTCGGTCCCAGTAATTTAGATGTTTTACTGAGTGGATTCTAGCAGTAAAGGATCTCTGCACGCTCTCCAGGTCAGCAATTTCTCCAGCTTTGAAAGGGGCTGTCATTGTGCAGCAGTACTCCACTCTAGAGAGCACAAGCGTTTTGAAAAGTATCATCATCGGTATAGCATCTCTAGTGTGAAAAGTTCTTGTTATCCAACCTGTCATTTTTCTTGCAGTTGTGACGGCTACTTTATTGTGTTCTTTAAAGGTAAGGTCTTCCGACATGAGTACACCTAGATCCTTTACATCCTTTACAAGGCCAAGGTGCTGGGATATGAGGACAAGGAGCTGGGATATGAGGCCAAGGTGATGGGATATGAGGACAAGGAGCTGGGATATGAGGCCAAGGTGATGGGATATGAGGCCAAGGTGCTGGGATACGAGGCCAAGGTGCTTGGATATGAGGCCAAGGAGCTGGGATATGGGGCCAAGGTGATATGATATGAGGCCAAGGTGCTGGGATACGAGGCCAAGGTGCTGGGATATGAGGGAGGCCAAGGAGCTGGGATATGAGGCCAAGGTGATGGGATATGAGGCCAAGGAGCTGGAATATGAGGCCAAGGAGCTGGGATATGAGGCCAAGGTGCTGGGATATGAGGCCAAGGAGCTGGGATATGAGGCCAGGGTGCTGGGATATGAGGCCAAGGAGCTGGGATATGAGGCCAAGGTGCTGGGATACGAGGCCAAGGTGCTGGGATACGAGGCCAAGGTGCTGGGATATGAGGCCAAGGTGCTGGGATACGAGGCCAAGGTGCTGGGATATGAGGCCAAGGAGCTGGGATATGAGGCCAAGGTGCTGGGATACGAGGCCAAGGAGCTGGAATATGAGGCCAAGATGCTGGGATACGAGGCCAAGGTGCTGGGATAAGGCCAAGGTGCTGGGATAAGGCCAAGGTGCTGGGATATGAGGCCAAGGTGCTGGGATATGAGGCCAAGGTGCTGGGATATGAGGCCAAGGTGCTGGGATATGAGGCCAAGGTGCTGGGATACGAGGCCAAGGTGCTGGGATATGAGGCCAAGGTGCTGGGATATGAGGCCAAGGTGCTGGGATATGAGGCCAAGGAGCTGGGATATGAGGCCAAGGTGCTGGGATATGAGGCCAAGGAGCTGGGATATGAGGCCAAGGAGTTAGGACGAGGAAAAGGTGCTGGGATACGAGGCCAAGGACCTGGGATAAGGCCCAAGGTGCTGGGACACGAACCAAATGTGCTGGGATACGAGGACAAGGTGCTGGGACACGAGGACAGCGTGAGCGAACACTGCCTAACCACTTTGGCCATCTGAGGAATGAGTTGGGCTTGTGAGAGTCAGTAGGGAGAATGAGAGTGGGCAGGGTGAGAGTGAGTAGGTAGAGTGGTGAGAAGAGAAGCAAAATTAATTAAAATTTCTGATCTGTAAACAAGCATGTGTCGATGCCGTCACTTGCTGTACATGGCTGGGGTGCACGGCATGGTCTGGGGCCCAAGAGCTAACATCCAATCGACTAATACGGTTGAGATCTATATCATAATTACCTCTGATGATATTGTGAATGACCAACAGTCGTCAAATAGCATGCATTAATTTTGAAAAAATCACATAGCTGTAAAAAAATTGCAGAGAAATGCAATGAAATGAAAAACAAAAATTAACATGAAATGGAACACTAAATTACCATGTGATATGTAAACAAAAAATAATCCTAATCCTAATAGAAGAATTAATAAACACAATGCTAATTGCAATAATAATTGAATTACTGGTATTAATATTTGGTATGATTTGTTTAGCTTGATCCTTTGGTGCAAATAAATGCACCATCTTTCCTCGCTGTGTGGGCCTGCTGTTGTTGCTAGCAGCTTGCACTCGATTTTATGCAATGAAACATAGTCGATCACGATTCCAACTCGCTCTATGTTTAAAGTGAAGGTATTGCGATGCGTCGCTCCCTGGATAGTTGAAGGGGAAATATTGCAAAGCCTTGCTCCCTAGACACTTAAAGGGATAGCACTGCGATGCCTTGTAGTGGAACCACGCTTTCCGACGGCAGGGAAGGGAATTATCAGGGGGAAAGCGCCAAGCCACTACGACTGTATAGCACTGGGAAGGGGTCAGGATAAGGATTAGGGATGGGATGTGCACATGGAGCTATGTGCACACGGAGGCTACGTGAACACGGGGCTATGTGCACACGGGGCTATGTGCACACGGAGGCTACGTGCACAGGGGGCTATGTGCACACGGGGATACGTGAACACGGGGCTATGTGCACACGGAGGCTACGTGAACACGGGGCTATGTGCACACGGGGCTATGTGCACACGGAGGCTACGTGCACAGGGGGCTATGTGCACACGGGGATACGTGAACACGGGGCTATGTGCACACGGGGCTATGTGCACACGGATGCTACGTGCACACGGGGCTATGTGCACACGGGGCTATGTGCACACGGATGCTACGTGCACACGGGGCTATGTGCACACGGATGCTATGTGCACACGGGGCTACGTGCACAGGGGGCTATGTGCACACGGGGATACGTGAACACGGGGCTATGTGCACACGGGGCTATGTGCACACGGATGCTACGTGCACACGGGGCTATGTGCACACGGATGCTATGTGCACACGGGGCTACGTGCACACGGGGCTATGTGCACACGGATGCTACGTGCACACGGGGCTATGTGCACACGGATGCTATGTGCACACGGATGCTATGTGCACACGGGGCTATGTGCACACGGATGCTATGTGCACACGGGGCTATGTGCACACGGGGCTACGTGCACACGGGGCTATGTGCACACGGGGCTACGTGCACACGGGGCTATGTGCACACGGGGCTACGTGCACACGGGGCTACGTGCACACGGGGCTACGTGCACACGGGGCTATGTGCACACGGATGCTATGTGCACACGGAGGCTACGTGCACACGGAGGCTATGTGCACACGGATGCTACGTGCACACGGAGGCTACGTGCACACGGAGGCTACGTGCACACGGAGGCTATGTGCACACGGAGGCTATGTGCACACGGAGGCTACGTGCACACGGAGGCTATGTGCACACGGAGGCTACGTGCACACGGGGCTATGTGCACACGGAGGCTACGTGCACACGGAGGCTATGTGCACACGGAGGCTACGTGCACACGGAGGCTATGTGCACACGGAGGCTACGTGCACACGGGGCTATGTGCACACGGGGCAACGTGCACACGGAGGCTACGTGCACACGGGGCTATGTGCACACGGGGCAACGGGCACACGGAGGCTACGTGCACACGGGGCAACGTGCACACGGGGCTATGTGCACACGGGGCTATGTGCACACGGATGCTACGTGCACACGGAGGCTACGTGCACACGGAGGCTATGTGCACACGGAGGCTATGTGCACACGGAGGCTACGTGCACACGGGGCTATGTGCACACGGGGCTATGTGCACACGGAGGCTATGTGCACACGGAGGCTACGTGCACACGGGGCTATGTGCACACGGAGGCTATGTGCACACGGAGGCTACGTGCACACGGAGGCTACGTGCACACGGAGGCTACGTGCACACGGAGGCTATGTGCACACGGAGGCTACGTGCACACGGAGGCTATGTGCACACGGGGCTATGTGCACACGGAGGCTATGTGCACACGGAGGCTACGTGCACACGGAGGCTATGTGCACACGGAGGCTACGTGCACACGGAGGCTACGTGCACACGGAGGCTACGTGCACACGGAGGCTATGTGCACACGGAGGCTACGTGCACACGGAGGCTATGTGCACACGGAGGCTACGTGCACACGGGGCTATGTGCACACGGAGTCCGCGCTCACAGGGTCAGTGCTCACAGGGTCAGCGCTCACTGGGTCAGCGCTCACTGGGTCAGCGCTCACTGGGGCTGCGCTCACTGGGTCAGCGCTCACTGGGTCAGCGCTCACTGGGTCAGCGCTCACTGGGTCAGCGCTCACTGGGTCAGCGCTCACTGGGTCAGCGCTCACTGGGTCAGCGCTCACTGGGTCAGCGCACTGGGTCAATGGGGGTCAGTGCTCACAGGGTCAGTGCTCACAGGGTCAGTGCTCACAGGGTCAGCGCTCACTGGGTCAGCGCTCACTGGGGCTCAGCGCTCACTGGGTCAGCGCTCACTGGGTCAGCGCTCACTGGGTCAGCGCTCACTGGGTCAGCGCTCACTGGGTCAGCGCTCACTGGGTCAGCGCTCACTGGGTCAGCGCTCACTGGGTCAGCACTCACTGGGTCAGCGCTCACTGGGTCAGCGCTCACTGGGTCAGCGCTCAATGGGTCAGTGCTCACAGGGTCAGCGCTCACAGGGTCAGCGCTAACAGGGTCAGTGCTTACAGGGTCAGTGCTCACAGGGTCAGCGCTCACAGGGTCAGCGCTCACAGGGTCAGCGCTCACAGGGTCAGCGCTCACAGGGTCAGCGCTCACAGGGTCAGTGCTCACAGGGTCAGTGCTTACAGGGTCAGCGCTCACAGGGTCAGTGCTTACAGGGTCAGCGCTCACTGGGTCAGTGCTTACAGGGTCAGCGCTCACAGGGTCAGCGCTCACAGGGTCAGCGCTCACAGGGTCAGTGCTCACAGGGGCCGCGCTCACAGCGGCCGCGCTCACAGTGACTGCGCTCACAGGGGCCGCGCTCACAGTGGCCGCGCTCACAGGGGCCGCGCTCACAGGGGCCGCGCTCACAGGGGCCGCGCTCACAAGGGCCGCGCTCACAGGGGCCGCGCTCACAGGGGCCGCGCTCACAGGGGCCGCGCTCACAGGGGCCGCGCTCACAGTGGCCGCGCTCACTGGGGCCGCGCTCACAGGGGCCGCGCTCACAGGGGCCGCGCTCACAGGGGCCGCGCTCACAGGGGCCGCGCTCACAAGGGCCGCGCTCACAAGGGCCGCGCTCACAGGGGCCGCGCTCACAGGGGCCGCGCTCACAGGGGCCGCGCTCACAGGGGCCGCTCACCAAAACAAGGACAATAACAATATTGGAGCAGTTAAAGCAACAAGCCATAACAATAACAAATAACAGCAATAACAGTAACTGAGGTCATCCTGTCCCAGCTGGTTTGACAGCCGGCCCCTCTCAGCTGGTTTGACAGCCGGCCCCTCTCAGCTGGTTTGACAGCCGGCCCCTCTCAGCTGCTTTGACAGCCGGCCCCTCTCAGCTGCTTTGACAACCGGCTCTGCAAGTCGCTAGCCTGAACGAAGGAGATCGCAGATAATCAGAGCTCTCGAAAGCACCCTCCTCCTCTGCCGCCTCGACACCTCAACCGTATTCTGATACGCTTTCAAAATTTGCCACCTTGCTATTGGCTACTGACATGACGTCATCATTTATCACGTTTTTTTTATTGGATGTGACACGTGTGCCCACCGATTACGTCATCGTGTTTTCCGCGCGCAAATCCTGGCCATCGCCGCTATACTAGAGATCTAGGAATTCTGCAACAGTCGATCTTGTCAGCGCTGGCCCTACAACTCCCGGCCTATACAACCACCGTCCTACAACCCCCGGGCTACAACCCCCGGCCTACAACCCCCGGCCTACAACCCCCGGCCTACAACCACCGGCCTACAACCCCCGGGCTACAACCCCCGGCCTACAACCCCCGGCCTACAACCCCCGGCCTACAACCACCGCCCAACAAGGATGGGCCTACGCCTCCCTGGTCATCAGAGAAGCAACGCGCCCGCGACAACTTGGGCCGCACAGTTTTACATATAACGCGCGCACCCAAGTTTTTGGTTCTTTATGCTGGCGGACTTTGCCGGGATTTACACGAAGGCAAAACTCTGCATACAAGGCGCTGGAGCCACTTTTGTGTCCCAAGTTGCTTGCAACTTTCTTGGAGCGACAGTGAGCGAGAGAGAGAGAGAGAGAGAGAGAGAGAGAGAGAGAGAGAGAGAGAGAGAGAGAGAGAGAGAGAGAGAGAGAGAGAGAGAGAGAGAGAGAGAGAGAGAGAGAGAGAGAGAGAGAGAGAGAGAGAGAGAGAGAGAGAGAGAGAGAGAGAGAGAGAGAGAGAGAGAGAGAGAGAGAGAGAGAGAGAGAGAGAGAGAGAGAGAGAGAGAGAGACAGACAGACAGACAGACAGAGAGAGACAGTACCACACAACACGACCACTAGAAAACAATGTAGATCAAATTGCCAGCATCTGAACCCCTCAACAAGGAAGGAATATCTGAATTACAACCACTGAACAAGGGGACAGTAACGACCCTCAAGTGGGCCCGGGCCCTCACACCCTCTCTGGCGAGCCCTTGACTCCCTTCCTAAAGCTGTTCTTAAGACCCAATGCGGGTACTAACTTATCGAGCCATTCTTAAGAACAAAATTATGGTCATGCGTTTGATAACTTTATCAATAGCATCTGGCTTGAAGATATATTTCATCTGGTGGAGTTGTGGAGTGTTGGTGTACTGAGGACACTGCCCCCATCACTGTGTGTCCGAGGACACTGTCCCCATCACTGTGTGTGAGGACACTGTCCCATCACTGTGTGTGAGGACACTGTCCCATCACTGTGTGTGAGGACACTGTTCCATCACTGTGTGTGAGGACACTGTCCCATCACTGTGTGTGAGGACACTGTCCCATCACTGTGTCTGAGAACACTGCCCCATCACTGTGTGTGAGGACACTGCCCCATCACTGTGTGTGAAGATTATGTATTACAAATTTAGAGGTGGTATATAGGAAGAGGTAGGTATTGGCAGGTGGCTAATAAATGTATTCCATAGAAATAGCACATAATATTAACTAGAAAGTTACTCCTATTGGCTTCTAAACAGAATTAACTAATGGGGTGATAAGTGATCTTTCGAGGTCACTCGTAATATGTAGTAGTAAAGCGCCACTTGAATAGGGGGGGGGGGATAAGCACTTTGGAAGACATAGGTACATAGTCTTCCCAGCTTGGTGCCTTCCTCTGATAATTGCACAAGACGGCTCACCCACAGTCCCTGTCGCTGCTGTGGGACAGTGTTCAGAGACATTGCCTGAATTTTGATACTTCACTCCTTCATCATCTGGGACTCTTGTGGCAAGTAACCAGCCCATGAGTCTGGACAATGTGGAAGGTTGGTGTCTTGCTTTCCTGAGGGAAAGCTTCCTCCTGCCGCCGCAGCTTCAATGTTGGTCCAGTCCCTGGCTCTACCCCTCGAGTCTCTCCCTTTCCCTGCTGTTGATTGTTCCTTTTGGGGGCCTTTCCTTCTGGTGTTATCTGAGTTTCCCCTTCCTCATTTTCTGCCGTTGACTGGCTGGAGTTCTGGTTCTACCCAGTTAGTCTGGTTCTTCCCAGCTGGTATGGTTCTAATTCCTGTTGGTCTTGGGGGGGGATACGATACCATTCAGTTCCTGTATAGTGTCGTGCTGTGTTGGTTCTCTTCTATTACTGTTTGTTTGGTATGGTACGTTATTCACCTGTATGCCCAGTGGTCTGCACTGTGCTTTCGTTGGGTATCCTTCCATGGGTGGTACTAGAGGGTGAGCCACCTGTCAGGTGAATCGTTTCAGGGTCTCATTTTCTGTTTGGTGTTTACCTTGCTGTTGTCTCTCTTGTTCTACCTTTCTTGTGACTACTTCTTGGTCTGAGTAATCTAGTATCGACAGCTCTATAGAGGTGGTCCTCCTCTATATCTATAGAGGAGGACCAGGTGTTGGTCTCTGGTTTCTGTTAAGGTTACAGTGACTCTCAAGGGCCTCATCTGAGTCAAGGTAGGTGGAGCTATCCATATTCCTAATAACAGGGCACCATCAAGGACCTGCCAAAAGGGACGTTTCATCACATTTTAATGCAGTTTTTTTTTCCATGTGGAGATTTGCTAAGATGGACTGGATATCTTTTGCTGCTTTTCCCTGCCTGTCAGAACTTTCCTCTGACACTTTCCTTCCTTGTTTCTATCTGGTGTTACTAGATGGTTCCCCTCCACTTCATTCGGCCCCATGCCTCTTGTGGCACATAGCAGGGTGTTCTTCGTCCCTCTTTGTCACTTTATGGTCATCCCCCTTGTGTACAAAGATTCTGCTATGCTTTTGGGGTCAATCTTTGACACTCGTTTGTCTCGGTCGCCCCATAGGGACCAAAGAGCCAGAGCTCAACCCCCCCACAAGCACAACTAGGTGAGTACAGGAGGCACAATGTGTGTGCCTCATTCCTTGCTGGATTTCGGATTGTGTTTGCACTGTACACGGTAAGTGTTACGTACTCCTAGCTGAATACGTATATAAATTTAAATAAACTTATTTTGTTCCATTATATTATTACCTGTATATGTACACATATTATATTTTTGTAAATTATCGTGTGGTGTGGCAATGTCAGTGGGGACAGGAGCGCGGTTGCTCTTCACACGTCTAATACCTGTTAGATTCGGGAAATTAGAATTGCTGGACCTGTTCAGTTATGGGAGTTCCAGATGTCACCTTTAATTTAAATATAATTATTAATTTACTGTAATTAAGCAGGTGGCATTGTAACTTATATATTTTGAAAGTAACTATTATATTTAATTTGCATTCTTATGTGTTTTGAGAACAAGTGGTTGTTCAATTAGTTTTAAATATTAAAAAGTCTGTATTTTCCATCCCTCATCCTGGATGAGGCAGAGGGGGAGAGGATTATGGGTAGCGACAGCCGAGTAGTCAGTAGCTGTTACGGAGCAGGAGAGATAACATCTGTGGGAAGTTAAGTCTGTTTACTTGTTGTTGTGTCATTAGTAGATTTTTATTCTGGGAGAGACAGTATTTTGATTTTTACTTTAATAGTGGTCCATCTGTACTTGATATAATATTGATTATATTGTTAATATATATATATATATATATATATAAAGTTATATGTCTATTTCTTCAGTCCTAAGGGAGAAAATTATAACGTTGCGTTGTATTTATCATGGGGTTACACTGGTGACCCGCTCTTGAGAACAGCAGTTGTAGTAGCCCTAGATAATTAAGGTCCATGCTGTTAGGGTTTCGAGCCGTAACGAACGATAGGTAACAGTATGCACGCAGCCTTGATAAAACACGTGAGAGACCAGACTTCGGAGCCATTTATATAGTTTAGAATGGCCAGGGTGGTGATCTGTAGGACCATTTGTCTAGCTAACCATGAGTATTGGAGATCTGATGTTTCCACTATTAATTTTAATACTCCTCTCTCCCAAGTCTGGAAGATTTGTAAGATTGCTGATAAAATTACTCCTGATATAGCGTCTGTTTTCCATTTCCGTAATTCTATTATTGCTGATCCAATGGTGGTTGTGAATGATCGGAGTTCACTCTTTTTCAACCGTTAGATCCCGTTTTCATCTCTCCTGCCTTTCATAAGTCCCATAGTGACTCACCTCTTGGACTTTCATACTCGCCTTCAACTCCTTAACAACAATCTCATCATCCTTTCTGAGTCCACCTTGTCCTCCCCGCTCCCTACAACTCCACGGCAGCGGACCCTGACAGTATTCACTACGTGATGCTCGGCCACATTCCTCTGTGCACCTTGTAGATTTTCTATGTATTTTCAATTGCATTTGGGAGATGATATCTGTCCTAATGCATTGCCTTGGCTCCGTTGTTCATTTAATTAAGAAACCGAGTATAGTGTATCTGGGCCCTCTTGTATATAGGAATAATACTAAGCTCTTATGATTGATCTTTAACGCTTGTCTTGGCTCTCCTATATCACTTACCTCTTAACTTAGTATAGTCCTATATTTCCTGGGTTGCTGGTAGACACTGGGTTATATATATATACGCTGAGAAGTATACCCCGGTTTTCGGTATATATATATATGCACTGTTAGTATACATTAGTCCTGGACAATGTTCAGGACTAAAGTATTCTTACTGGTTGGTTAGTAAGCTGTTGTTTCCCTTATAACCTTCCAGAGGTTGTTAAGCGATAAGCCTAACACCTACCTTGCACTACCTTGCGTTGATTTTGGGAATCAACGTCCTGGAGGCCTGGTCCCTGACCAGGCCTCGGGAAACCAAACCAAAGACAGTCACATCTGTGTTTACACTCCTTCCTTGTCTTGTCTAAACCGGACTATGGCTGCCCACCATGACCCTGGGTCATGCCCTGGACCCTTCGTCGTCTCAGTGACCTGCACCATCCAGGTTGTGCCGGGCCCTGGTCAACCTACCACTGACATGTGCAGTGGTGTGTGCACATGTCTCGCTTCGGTAGATGACGTGCTTAAAAAATGCTTTGGGACGCTCATGACTCGAGCCAGCTGAACTCAAGAGCATCAACTATAACCTCTATTTGAAACCAATCAGAGGGTAGCATCTGTATAACCTCTCCTGATTAGTTTCTTCCCAGAGTTTATATGAGGTCATCAGGGGCGAGTTGACCAGGATTACACCCTTGGTGCTCAGGTCACGTATTATATATTTACTGTTTCACCTCGCTTCCCTGTTGCACCATGCAAGATGGCTGCACCACTCGTTAGCTATCCCCAAGCTCAGTAAGGCTTCCCCTCCGTGGTGTCTCCTTGTCATGGTGAGGGGCTCACCTACACCTCCCTGGAACCAGTGAGGGTTGCCTTTGCCCCCTTTCCTGCCCCTCTTTGGCTGTTGTACGTGCAGATGGGCATTATGTACTAGTCTTGTGAGCCATCGGACCACCTGCTGGAAGGCTCGCCCGTGAGGGGCCGCCCTGAGTGGATGGCTGGGTGTCCAGGCTGGGGCAATAGGGGTAACTGAGGTCTTTGCACCAGTGTGGGAGAATGAACGATGCAGTAGGAATCCCCTGTTAAAAGGGGGGCCACAGCTGGGGACGACGCACCTTTCCTGCACTGGCCCGTGCTCAGCCTCCCTGGCTGCCCTGGTAGGCGGTATCCTTTGGTTCCAGGCCCCAAACTTTTATAACGACTGCTGCATGAATGACAACACGACCTCTCTTACCCAGGCTCATGGGGTGGGTGACCAGGCCCCTGAGTCGGACTGCTCTGGAAGACCGGGCTCTGTAGCTCCCACTTCATTGGGCCCAGACTGGACTACTCCCCAACTCCTTTGTGATAGGGTCGCGCTGCAAGCCCCCTGTGGTGACCACCTCGTCCCCTAGCACGGCTCCATCTCTCATTTTGACTACTGTACCTTATGACCCTTCTCTAGGGGTTCTCACCACCCCTACTCACCACCACAGCCGCTCTCGCACGCTCCCTTCCCATACTAATTCGTACCATGCCTTGTTTGGTCTTGCTACATGGACTAAGTACTTTGACCTCCATCATTTAGATTCTACTCCTGACGATTTCTCCCTCCATTAGGCACCTTATTGATTCAGTAGATGCCTCTGTTACTTTTAACCCCACCCAACCCGGTATGAGTGTCGTTGCTGCTGCTCCTCAGGATGCAGCTACCTGCTTGGCCGCTTTGTCCTACATTGGGGAGACCCTGTTCGGGTCGCCAAGAACGCTCGGTTAAATGCCAGTGTTGGCACTGTTCTCCGCCCACACCATGTTGCAACCGCTATTAGGAACTTCAAGGACTGCCACGAGGATATTAAACATATCCTCGAGGCCCAAGGCCATTCTGTTCTCCAGGTAGACACGCTCACTTGACCCCCTCGTGACCATCGCCATCTGTCCCTTTGGGTTGTGAAGACTACCTTTGATTGTCGGACACTTCCACCCTCTTATTCTTGCTGGTGCATAGGTGCTCCGCTCGTGAGTACATTCCCTTCCTCAGCTTTGTAATAAATGCTGGAAGATCGGACATAGTGCCCTCGGATGCTCCAGTACTGTCTCTCTCTACCTCCATGTGTGGGGACAAAGGTCACTCTTAAGTGAGAGTGCTCTTCTTTCCCGGCTCGCTGCCTCAATCGCGGTGAGGCCCACTCTACCTTCTCCCGCGTGTGTATACATTACAAGCTTGAGGCATCCATCCTTAACTTGAAGCACTGGCAACGTTTGTGTTTTCCTGAGGCTAGGCGCCAAGTTTGCAGTCTTCCCCCTTTCGCTAGCCTCTCTTATGCTCGTGTGTTGCGCTCTTCGTCTCCTCGTCCTTCTCACTTTCCTCAGTATCGCAACCATTTCCAGGCCTTATTTCCTTGCCCCTGTAGAGAGTCCCCCTTCCAAAATTTTGTACATCCTTGACCCAGATGACTAAAGCTTTTATCCCTCCTATGGTTCTGAAACGTCTTTTCCTTGAACACTTTTCTTCACACTCCCGCTCCATTTCTATCTTCACCGATGGGTCTAAGTCTGTGGACGGTGTAGGCTACTCTTGTTTTTCCTGACCACACTTACATGTGTCGCCTTCCTCTGGAGACTAACATCTTCACAACAGAACTTTATGCTATTCTCTATGCTCTTTGTCTCCTGCTTTATCGCTGTCAATCCTCCTTTGTGGTGGTAGTTGACTCTCGTAGTGCCCTCATGGCTCTCGGGTCCTTTAATCCAATCCATCCGGTGGTCGTCGAGATTTAACATTGACTGTTTCTTATCTCCAGTAAATTTAAATCAGTAGAGTTTTGCTGGGTGTCCAGCCATATTGATGTTTCTTTAAATGAGCGTGCAGATGCTGCTGTTAGGGAAGCAATCCACTCTTGTCCCACCTCCTGTAAAGGTATACCTTATTCCAACTTTTACCCAGTTATTCATTCCTCCATCCTTGCCTGTTGGCAGGGTTGTTGGTCTTCTGTTGTTGGTAACAAACTGTGTACTCTTAAGTGTAGTGTGTCCCCCCCCCCCCCCCCATGGCCTTCCTTCTACCACCATAACCGGTGATGGGAAATGGCTCTGGCAAGATTGAGTATTAGCCATACATGCGTAACTCACGGTCACTTACTGGAACGCCGCCCTGCTCCTTATTGTCTAAATTGCATTGTTCCTCTTACAGTCGTGCATATCCTTGTTGGCTGTCCTGACTTCCAGGACGAGCGTGTGTCTTGCTTTCCGACCGTCCCCCGCGGTCGCTTGTCCCTCGATAGAATTCTTGGTGAATCGTATTCTTTTAATATCGTTCACCTTATGTGTTTCTGTTCTCGTATTGGCATACTTAGTGATATTTAGCGCCCTCTGATTATTCCACACATTTGATGGTGCTACATAGCCTTCCCAGTTTGGTGCCGTCTTTTGATAATTACTTAGTAAGGCTTTATTGACTATATAACTTATGATACTGTAAGTTGCTGTCGTTCAGTATCTAGACAAGTGATGACAACCTAATCAGTGACACCTAACTTGATTGAGTTCCAGCTGAATTCTCGTTCTAGCTGCACCATGAACCTTGTGCTGCATCCTGTGCACTAACCACGTTATCTAGGGTGGGGAAATATCTTGGAAATCGTCCAAACTTTCACACACTTAATGGAACATGCAGACCTAAATAATGTGACTGAAAATTTAGACACTGAACCCACACATCTGAAAATAAAGGAAGCGACGTTTTGGTCCATCCTGAACCAATATTAAGGGTCTCGTATGGTCCAAAACGTCATTTTTTTATTTCTCAAATGTGTGTGGCTTGGGTGTTTAATGAAACCAACCTTACTGTCAGAACTACATTATCCTTATCTTGAAATTATCTTGAGTCAATTTTGGGGCTTTAGTGTCCCTGCGGCCCGGTCCTTGACCAGGCCTCCACCCCCAGGAAGCAGCCCGTGACAGCTGACTAACTCCCAGGTACCTATTTACTGCTAGGTAACAGGGGCATAGGGTGAAAGAAACTCTGCCCATCGTTTCTCGCTGGCGCCCGGGATCGAACCCGGGACCACAGGATCACAAGTCCAGTGTGCTGTCCACTCGGCCGACCAGATCCTGCTGACAGTCCTGCACCTCGTCAAATATCCCGATGTTTGTGGACCATAAATATTGCTTTCGCGATGTCCCTTCTCGTCGCTTGTCCCGTGATAGACCCCGTAATATATCCTATACCTTTAACATTGCCCGTCTTAAGTCTTTTATCTCTCATATAGACATTCTGGGTGATATTTAATGCATTTGAGTGTTCTGTGACTCAGATGTTGCTAAACACTGTTCCGGGTTTGGTACCTCCTTTTGGTAATTATTTTGAACATTTGTAGTTGGGGTTCAGCGTGACAGCTCTCCACTTGGCCAGAACCTGTAGACAAAAATGTACTTTTCCGTATTTCTATAATAGTTATACTGACATGTATTTTGTATTTGTGTATTATACATTATCACTCAAGTGCATAATTTCCTGTAAGTAACTTGAAGGAAATGGATATACATATGTTTATAGAACCCAATCTGGACAGTACAACAATAATATCATATAAACCTCAAACAAATGTACGTTAAAAGCCTTGAAAAAGGCAGTACAAGGCTCAGAGGAAGAATCCAAACAAGTAGAGACTCGGATACCTTTATTGATGAGATGAGAGCAAAGGGAGGCGGTGCCAACCCTCACATCAAACACCACAAGGACACTCTACACTGCCCTAGTAACTATGGTAAAGTGCAGCTTCACTACACTAATTTGTCTGCCGTCTTGAAGCCATTACAGTACGAGTTTTGTGATGTTGCCATCACGCAGCAGTTATGGCAACACCTGAAACCGT